TATGTACTTTTCCATCGGCTTGCCACTACTCCCCTCTCTCATTGCCCTGCCTTACTTATTAAGAGAGTATTATTTCTAAAATGTATATTGGCATGTTTAGGAGAGGTCTGACTTAAAAATCTCACCCCAAGTAAGCCAAGTCTCTCTAAGCCATCCTTGGATTTTCACCTTGAATGGAATTTCAGGCATAATAAACATTAAACATTGCATCTTTGTCCAGGCCCATGACCTACACCTGTCCCAGCAACTCAGGAGACTAAGGTAAGAGGCTCACAAGTTTGAAGCCAGCCTCAGCAACTTAGTGATATGCTATCCCCCAATTTTAAAAATAATGAAGGTCTGGAGATACAGGTCAACGAGAGGGTGCCCCTGGGTTAAATCCTTAGTGTGTGTGTGTGTGTGTGTGTGTGTGTGTGTGTCTCACATACACACACACACACGATTTGCATCTTTGAAGGGGAACGGTTATTCACTGTTGATGGGAGTAAAAATTAGTACACCCATTATGGGAAATAGTATGGAAGTTCCTCAAAAAATTAAAAATAGAAACTACCACATGATCCAGCAATCCCACTACTGTGTATATATTCAAAGGAAAAAAAGTCAGTGGTCAAAGAGACATCTGCACTACCATGTTTATAGTGGCATAAGATATGGAATCAACCTAAGTGTCTATCTTTTGATGAATGAATTTAAAAAATTTCATGCTTACACACAATGGGATGCTATTCTGCCATTAAAAAATAATTTAAAAAAAAGAATAAAGTCCAGTTATTTGTAGCAACATAGAAGAGCCCTGAGACATCATGTTAAATGAAATCAGCCAGACACAGATAGATGCCACAAGTTCACAGTCATATGTGGAAGCTGAAAGTGTTGACCTCAGAAGTAGAGTGTAGAATAGTGGCTCCCAGAGGCTGGGAAGGGAAGTTGTGGATAATAAGAGAGGTCAGTTAACAGGTTAAAAAAAAAATACAGTTAGATAGGGTAAACAAAGTCTAATTGTCTATATACTAGGGTGACTGTAGTTGGTAATTTATTATATATTTCAAAAGAGCTGGAAGAGAAGATTTTGAATAATTCTATAACAGAGAAATAATAAATGCTTGAGGTGATAGATAAGCTAATATTCTGATTTGATATTTAGATTTTGTATACAATGTTTGATACATGTATCAAAGTATCACGCTATACCCCAATCACATGCAATATTTGTGTGTCAAACTTTTTAAAATTGCATCTTTGATGTTTTCTTGTGGAATTATTCTAGAAAAACAAATCATTCTCACAACCAGTCTTGTGGTCAGTATGTTGGGTCAGTGGATTATACTATGAACACTGCAGTTCTGTAGCTAAGCTTGGCTCACCTCCAATAAGCATATGGTTTTAAAGATGATCTGACACTGAAGGTCACAGAATCTAGTGGATTTCATCAGCAATTACCATAAGATTTTGTTTTGAGATTCTCTTGTCTCATCTGGAAATAGTTCACCTTTCCTCATTTTTTAAATCCAGAGAATAATTGATCAGCTTTACCAGTACTGAGATGGCCCACTCCAGAAATTAACCCAGAATTCTTCTGTAGTGGGCCTATTTTCTAACTATTTCTTGGCTTACATATCCAAGAGATAGATGTGGTTGATTTTTTCACAAAAATGATTCTGCTCCTATGGTAAGCAGCAGACCACCCATCCAGAATACTTTCCACATGTGTCAAAGGGTGGCTTTTTCTTTAGGTTGTCAGTGGCACACCGTTTGGGAACATGCTGGTGCGTGGTACTCAGAATTCTGAGTCATTGCTGAATTTGTAACTGCAGTGGCTTAAGTATCTTCAGCAAAGCAGTGCCTAGATTCAGTGACATTCCACAAGGCCAGGAAGAACTCAGCCCACCCTCTTATCACCTGCCCTCCCCATGCTCAGCAGTGTTCCAGTGCTGATGTGCCTCTAGGATGCATCAATGGGCTTTATCTTGGAACTATTAGGGGAGTGTAATGATGGTGCATTTTTTCTGGAAGTTCACCCCAATAGGGCAAGGAGTTCCAGTAGTTTTATACTCTCCAGATTTTTGCAGAACTGTGTTTCTTTGCCCTTGTTCCTGCCTTTCTTCTTTGCTCCTCTTCTCATTCTGAGGCTCCTAAACTTAAATACTGTCACCACCTCTAAATGTTGCCACTGCTTCTACTATACTCCTCCAGCTTCCCTTTTTCTCAAGTTTTTTTCCTTCCTTATTTTACTTCATTCACTAGTCACTTCCTAGCCTGAGCATTGCTCAGGCATATCTCACAGAGAATTACTTTTGCTTTTCTCAAGTGTTTTCTCTGTCCTTCTAGGCTCAAGAGCTACTTATTTGCAACATGGAGTATTTTATTTTCTATTTTTTCTGCCCTCTTCCTTTTACTTCCAGATTCAATGTCATTCTGGTTGCCTGAGGTGATCTGACCTCTGAGGCCAGGCTAATAACGGCCTATCTTTCATTTCTGCAATACTGTACTACACAGTTACTGTAATGGAGTACTATTGGACTGATTTTTTACGTACAACTGTTTGTTGACTTACAATAGAGATACAACCTCATAAAACCCATCATAACTGAGCATGGTGGCACACACTCATAATCCTAGTGACCAAGGAGGCTAAGGCAGGAGGATCACAAGTTCAAGACCGGCCTGAGCAATTTAGTGAGACCTATCTTAGAATTTTAAAAAGGCCAAGAGATGTAGCTCAGTGGTAGAGCACCCCTGAGTTTAATCTGTAGCACCACAAAGAAAGAAATCACAAGTTGAAAATACAAAAAAAGAAAAAAGAAAGAAAATGTCATCAATCAAAAATGCATTTAATACACTTAGCCTACAGAAAATCATAGATTAGCCTAGCCTACCTTAAATGTGCTCAGAACACTTTCATTGGCCTACAACTATAAAAAACTTATTCTATAATAAAGTTATTATAAAGAATTTTGAATCAAAATTTTAAGTGTGGTTTCAACTAAGTATTGCTTTTGTATTTTTTTTTTAATACTAGGGATTGAATCAAGGGGCTCTTTAACCACTAAGCCACCTCCCCAGCCTTTTTTTATTTTTTATTTTGAGACAGGGTCTCCCTAAGTTGCTTAGGGCCTTGCTAAGTTGCTGAGGCTGGCTTTTAACTTGCCATCCTCCTGCCTCAGCCTCCCAAGCTGCTGGGTTTATAAGTGTATGCTACCATACCTGGTGCCTTTGTACCTCTTGAAGTTGAAAGATTAGAATTGAAACCAGAGTTTAGCTATTGTGAATTGTGCTGCTATACATATTGATGTGGCTGTGTCCCTACAATATGCTGTTTTTAAGTCCTTTAAGTATAGACGGAGGAGAGGGATAGCTGGATCAAATGATGGTTCCATTCCCAATTTTCCAAGAAATCTCCATACTGCTTTCCAGATTGGCTGTACCAATTTGCAGCCCCACCAGCTTTGCATATTTTCCCCCACATCCTTGCCAACTTATTGTTGTTTGTTTTCATGATAGCTGCCATTCTGACTGGAGTGAGAATTGGATTTGCATTTCTCTAATTGCTAACGATGATGAACATTTTTTCATGTATTTGTTGATTGATTGTATATCATCTTCTGAAAAGTGTCTGTTCAGGTCCTTGGCCCATTTATCGATTGGGTTATTCGATTCACAATAGCTAAACTGTGGAACCAGCCTAGATGCCCTTCAGTAGATGACTGGATAAAAAAATATGTGGCATACATACACAGTGGAATATTACTCAGCAATAAAAGAGAATAAAATCATGGCATTGCAGGTAAATGGATGGAGTTGGAAAATATAATGCAAGTGAAGTTGGCCAATCCCAAAAAACAAATGCCAAATGTTTTCTCTGATATAAGGAGGCTGACTCATAGTGGGTCGGGAGTGGGAGCATGGGAGGAATAGACAAACTCTAGATAGGGCAGAGGGGTTGGAGGGGAAGGGAGTGGGCAGGGGGTTTTAAATGATGGTGGAATGTGATGGTCATCATTATCCAAAATACATGTATGAAGATACAAATTGGTGTGAATATACTTTGTACACAACCAGAGATATAAAAAAATGTGCTCTATATGTGGAATAAGAATTACAATGCATTCTGCTGTAAATAAAAATAATAAAATTTTAAAAAGAATTGAAACCAGAGTAAGTCAGAGACCGTCTGTGTTGTGTGAATTAAAGTTTTATAGAAAGATGGATATTATTCATTTTTGTTTAATACCAGTCACCCTGAATAACATGATTTTTAGGGACCAGCATTGTCCTAAAATAGCCCATCATATGGCAGACTGGTCACGGCCAAGAGAAATATGCAGGTTTTCATTTATTTGGGGTTTTCTTTTCTAAATGAATGTATAATTACACCTGAAAAAAATACGAAATAAGTACTGTAGTAAATATCTAAGCATATAAATTGGCAAATTAATTATTTACGGTCTCTTTCCCAGGTGAACTTGAATCATGAAGCTACTTCCATGCAGAAACTTTTTGAGAGATTATTGCATAGTTATGGGCCCTGTGCATTTTTTTTTCTTTCTATAGGTCATTTGACTGCTGTATTTAAGACATACCAGAATGTACTTGGTTTTCATTTTCATTCTTTGGTAATAAAAAACGATAAATTTAACTGGAAAGAGACTATAATCAAATCAGGCATTTTTATGGAGAAAATATTAAATGATTCTACTAATTTGCATTGTTGTTAACACCTGTACATAAAATTCTATAAGAAATTTAGTCCCAGGAAAAAAGGTCGAGAGGGTGCACCCTGTCCAGTCAGATTGCCTCAGGAATTCTAAGTCTTGACTTTCCCCTGTACTCGGAGTTTACACTAGGTGGCATGCAAGGAAAGCTGAACAAACTCAGGAACTTGATTCTGTAAAGCACAGTTCTTTGGTACTAATCATGATAGTGGGTTCAGCTTGGAAGTCAGTTCTTATTTATGATGGTTTCCCTTTTCTCATCCTCCTCCCCACCCCACCCCACAGGATGAAGTGTCCTCTTGCTGGCACAAATAAAAGATTCTTAATCAACACAATCAAGAACACATTGCCTTCCCATAAGGAGCAAGAGCATGAACAAAAAGAAGGCAATAAGGAACCTTCGAAAAGCCAGGACCAGAAAGAAGCAAACCCGAAGAAGCACAGAAGCCATCCCTACAAGCACAGCTTGCACACTCGAGGCTCAGTGGGGTACTCCCCCCAAAGAAAGCGGGGCACCCGGGACAAGTGTGACCCGCGGCCCAGCAGGCGGTGAGGCTGAGGGAGGGGCCGGCCCACGCCAGCTGAGCCTGCACTGCCCTGGGACTGGGGTGTGCGAGGACAGGTGAGCCGGCAGGGCAGATGCCTAAGAGCCATCTTCCCAGTAGGTCCTTTGTTGTTTTTAAAGGTGGCTGTTGGTGGCAGGTAAAAAAATGACCTTAAGACTCATCAAGGAATAATTACAAAGGGACTTGCTCTGAAGATGTCGTGGCATGTGTGGGCTGCTTTGGCAGTGTAGTATACATCTGTGTTACTTTTATCCTATTTTGTTTGGAAGTTAGTTTCAAAACCTGTAAATCTAGAATTTAAAGTTTTCAGATTGTTAAAACTAGTCCCAGTTTTTTGATGTGCTGCACTTTTGGTCATTTCTCAAAATTTCTCAAAAATAAAATACTTATAAATCCTATGCTTTACTTTTATGGGTGTCAAATTCAAATTTTAGAAATCATCTGACCATATTTTATATCATGAAAACTTATAGCCCTCCAAGGGCTGGAAACTTACCATGAAATTTAGTGATTGTCACCAGAGGCCTGACTCTGGGAATCCAGCAAATCAGGTCTGGCTGCTCACCCCCCCCCAAAAAAAAAAAAAAAACAAACAGAAAAGTTAATGGTCAAAAGCATGAAAGGAACTTGAATCAGTGTGGCTACACCGGGAAGCCAAGGGGACTCATATCCTTGGCCCTGTCCTTGAGAGGGTGACAATGACTTTGAGATTTTATAGAAAAGGGGATAAGCCAAGCGTGGTGGTGCACATCTGTAATCCCAGCAGCTTGGAAAGCTAAGGCAAGAGAATCATGAGTTCAAAGCCAGCCTCAGCAAAATCAAGGTGCTAAGTAACTCATGGAGACCCTGCCTCTAAATAAAATACAAGATAGAGCTGGAGATGTGGCTCAGTGGTCAAGTGCCCCTGAGTTCAATCCCCAGTACACCTCCCACACACACAAAAAAGGTGGGGGGTGCTGTAAGGGCAAGGCTTGGGGATTTGCACGGCTGGAAGGTTTCACAGTTGCCAGAGCAAGTGCTCTTGACCAGGTGTGGTCTGTCCATCATTATTTTAGGATTGGATAGATGCAAAATGGTGGCAGAGATGCCAAGTCTTAACTCCTGTTTTTAGCAACCCACTGGATATTTGCAGGCAAATGTCCATTCCTCAATCTTGAGGGAACTAGTACATCAGCCAATCTGACTTTGCAGGTTTCTTGGCCTAGTGAAAACTTTTGAACAGTCACTGAAGCATATAAGTGAAAAGAGTTAAATATTTAAGCTTAGAAGTAGAATTATCATAATAAATTATAAAGCAGAATACAAAGGGGAGTCAAAGTCTGAAGATACCCAACTAAATCATGTAGGGGATTCTCTTTGTAAATCAGTAAAGACAACTAAAAAAAAAGTTATTTTCTTCCTTCTACCTAATAGAACGCCCTTGTCTAAGCTAAGATGCCTGATAGAGGGCTTTAGTGTTAGGCAATCTTGTTTAAGAACCCTTTCTCCATAACTTCTAGATTGTCAAAAGTGCACATCTCAAGTTAGATTTAAAAGTTATTTCCCTTTTAATTGCCCATGCATGACAATTCTTTGTGACTTTTCTTCCACTTTCATATTAGTACATTAGTCTTTGGTTCTACTTCCCTGTTGAGTGTTAAAGACCTTGTAAATAATCCCTATGTTGGCCAAACCTTAACCTCTTTCCCTCCTACTATTAAGGTTGCTGAGACTCTTCAGGGGTTACTTTTAGGAACTTAAGAGAAGCCTCTGGATCCTTTAGTCTTTTTCTTTACCAGTTGTGTCATCTGTCAGGATGGGTCAGGGTCTTGCAAACTACAGTGGCTTCTCCAGTGACCCTTCTCTTTGCAAAATGTGTATTGGTTGGCTTCCAGTTCTCTAGGGTCCTCATAATTTCCTTATCAAAAGAACCCATGACTCACCAGAGCTGCAGGGCCCTCGGGGTCCCATCATTCCCTGGGTCCTGGATGACCCTGAAGGGTAAAGGCCAAAATATTGGCTATTTTTTCTTAGCCCTTTTATTTTCCTTGACTTGGGTCTCCAAATCTTGGTTGTTGAACACACACACAGCCAGTTCGACCAGTTTTGCAGTAAGAGTAGTGGGTTATAATTTTAATGTGTCCCTTTCATTTAATTGGGGTCAGTATTGGTAATGGTAATAAGCATCATATCCTGTCCTATAGGTGATTGTTTAACTGAGGTTATTCTGTTAGAAATCAAACTTTGGGGGCTGGGGTTGTGGCTCAGTGGTTGAGTACCTGCTAGCATGTATGAGACACGGAGTTTGGTCCTTAGCACCACATAAAAATAAATAAAAAGTATTGTGTCCATCTACAACTAAAAGAAAGAAATTGGACTCTTGTGAAACACTAACAGACAACATTTAAAAAGTTTTACAAGGAAAATATAAAATAGAATTAACCAGGGCAACAATATATTCAGTTTCTATGATGTGCACTTTAAACACTTTTTATAACATTAATGTATCTTGGTTATCTGTTTTAGCCTCTGAAAAAACAACCCATAAGGGCTGGGGTTGTGGCTAAGTGGTAGAGCGCTTGCCTAGCATGTGTGAGGTCCTGGATTCGATTCTCAGCACCACATGTAAACAAATACATAAAGGTCCATCAATAACTAATAAAAATAAAAAAAAAAACAATCCATAAATAATTTGTGGACTCAATCACATACAAAATCATTTACAAATTCTATTTCTTTTTAAAACCCTTTCACAACTTTTTTTTATAATTCACGCACTCCCTTATTTAGTTTTGCCTTATATCTCTTTCTATTTTGGGATCACAGTAATCTTTAAAACAGATTTATCCTTTTGAGAAGAACTTTAAATGGGCTTAATTTTATCCTACTTTGGGACTATTGTAACATGGAGTAGGCCAAGATGCAGAGGTTTATCCCAGGTGATTGCCGCTATTTTTTTTTTTTCCAGTTCTGGCTTCATACATGCTACCACTGAGCTGCTCCATAGACCAAGGCTGGCTTTTTGAAAAAATCTTTAAGTGTTTCACATTTGAGGCTAATCTTTTCTCCCTTTCTAGATATTCTCTTTAGGAGGATAAAAAAACGAAGTACTAAGCCAGGTGCAGTGACACCCACCTGTAATCCCAGCTACTCTAGAAACTGAAGTAGAAGGATCCCACGTTCAAGACCAGCCTCAGCAACTTAGTTTCTATCTCAAAAAATTAAAAGGGCTCAGTACTTTAAAACACAGAGACACACACACACACACACACACACACGAAGTTCTCATATATTGTTTCCTGAGCCTATTTAAATATCAATTAACAAAATAACATCACTGCTAAAACAGATTGGATACAAAGGCAAAGAGAGCTCTTAGTTTCCTTTCTTTACTACAGTGATGCAGCCACATCAATTTTTATAGCAGCTCAATTACAATAGACAAACTATTGAACCAACCTATGGCCTTCAACAGATGAATGGACAAAGTAAATGTCATATATATACCCAGTGGAATATTACTCAGCCTTAAAGAAGAATGAAATTATGGCATTTGCAGGTAAATGGTTGGAGTTGGAGAAAATCATGCTAAGGGAAATGAGTCAATCCCAAAAAACCAAAGACTTAAGTTAATATCCTTTCTATTTTAAGAGCTAATCAACAGAAATCACCCTTACAAGTGGAAATCCCACCCACCCACCCCAACCCACACCTTTCTTTCTTTCTTTCCTGGAGATTGAACCCAGTAGCTCTTTACCACTGAGCAACATCCCCAGCCCTTTTCATTTTTTATTTTCAGACAGGGTCTTGCTAAATTGCCCAGACTGCCTTTGAATTTGTGATCCTCCTGTCTTGGCCTCCCCGATAGCTGGCATGACAACATGCCCTGAAAATTTCTTTTGTATAGGGTTAGAAAACATATTTTGGAGAACTATCCAGTTGACAAGTCTGTCTGAATTCACTCATTTTCTAACCCTTCAATGAGTAGGGCAAAAAGCACTTTTTCTTGGGAAAATATCCCATGAGTTTTCCGAAGCTTTTTCTTCCTGCTTGAATTTATCATAGTTTTCAGTCATTTTGTTTATTTATATATTATTTATTTACCTATCTTTGGTACAGGGATTGAACCCAAGGACAGTTTACCACTGAGCTACCTCCCCAGTCCTTTTTGTTTTGAGACAGTTTCTTGCTAAATTACCAAAGCTGGCCTGGAATTTGCAATCCTCCTGCCTCGGTCTCTGGAGTCACTGAAATTACAGGCAAGCACCCTTGTGCCCAGCTTATTTTATCCCTTTTATTGCTCAAGGACTCTAGCTCAGCACGCAAGAAAATCAACTTAGGAACATTAAATGTTCCCTGATTTTTAAATACTTGCAAGTTGAGGCACTATTATCCACAAAACCAGCTGGAGTGCCGGATGGGGTTTTCTCCACACACTTTCTCCTCCTTGGAATTTATTTCCCATTTTAGTGGAGGTGCCCCTTCTTCTGAAGTTGCAACCTTCTGAGCCACTGGTGGACTTGTGTTCTAGACTAAAAGGAGCAAGGCTGCAAAGATCAGGAGCAAGAGACAAAAAGCAAAAAGGTAAATTTACACAATGGAGCAGCAAAAGAAAAAGACCAAAGGTTTCCAAACCATGTTCTGACAAGGGTTCCAAAACAAAGGATATCCCAAATAACCAGCTCAGAATAAACCGAGAACCGTCAACCAAACAGTAAATTTCTGGTAGGGACTGTCACTGCCAGCCATCAGATTTTTTTTTTAACTTAATTTTTAAGTCAGTCACCGTAAGCCCAGACAAACAGACAAAAGAATACATTAAAACAGTTATATTCAACCATAGTGCACTTTCAGGTACATAGGTAGAGCTTTACTATAATAATGAACTCTTTTTCTTAGTCAGGCTTATATATATTTTGACCAGACAGTCAAAATGTCACTTAGGACCACTGGCACAGAATTAGGGCTTTCCATTCTTAGACAAATCACAACAGAGATCTTCTCAAACCAACCAGATTTCTCTGTGTACCTTACATCCTCTCCCTACTAACTGGCACCACAAAGCTACAGAATCCAAACTTCCCTATTAGAAAATGGCAGAAGCCCTGCTGGGTATGGTGGCACACACCTATAATCCTAGCAGCTCAGGAGGCTGAGGCAAGAGGATCACAAGTCTGAGGCCAGCCTCAACAACTTAGTGAGATCCTGTCTCAAAATAAAAAAATAATAATAAAGTCTGAAGATATGACTTGTTCTGTAACCCTGGGTTCAATCTCTGTTACAGAAAAAAAAAAAAAAAAAAGGAAGGTGAGGGACAAATGGGCTACAAATACATTTTTCCTTTAAAAAGCATTGTTTCACTTCAGAAGGTTTTATCAGAATCTTTAAATGTTTCATCAAGAGCAGCCATGGGTTTCGT